CATTCCTATTCCTACGTGTATACATCAATTGGTTTAGGATTGGACACATTCCTATTCCTATGTGTATACATCATTTGGTTTGAAATTGGACACATTCATGTTTCTACATGTATCTATCAATTGAATTGAGATTGGACACATTCCTATTCCTATATGTATACATCAATTGGTTTGAGATTGGACATATTCCTATTCCTACAGGTATACATCAATTGGTTTGCGATTGGAGACATCCATGTTCTTAAAGGTATAGATCAATTGGTTTGCGATTGGACACATTCCTATTCCTACGTGTATACATCAATTGGTTTAAATTTGGACACATTCCTATTCCTATGTGTATACATCATTTGGTTTGAAATTGGACACATTCATGTTTCTACATGTATCTATCAAATGATTTGAGATTTGACACATTCCTATTCCTACACGTATACATCAATTAGTTTGGGATTGGACACATTCCCAAGCCAACATTTATAAATCAATTGATTTGAGATTGGACACATTCCTATTCCTATATGTATACATCAATTGGTTTGAGATTAGACACATTCCTATTCCTACACGTATACATCAATTGGTTTGAGATTGGACACATTCATGTCCCTACATGTATACATCAATTGATTTCAGATTGGACACATTCTATTCCTACGTGTATACAACAATTGATTTGAGATTGGACACATTCATGTTCCTACATGTATACATCAATTGGTTTGCAATTGGATACATTCCTGTTCCTACAGGTATACATCAATAAGTTTGAGATTGAACACATTCATGTTCCAAAAGGTATACATCAATTGGTTTGCGATTGGACACATTCCTATTCCTACGTGTATACATCAATTGGTTTAGGATTGGACACATTCCTATTCCTACGTGTATACATCAATTGGGTTAGGATTGGACACAATCCTATTCCTACGTGTATACATAAATTGGTTTTGCGATTGGACACATCAATGTTCCTAAATGTTTACATAAATTTGTTTGAGATTGGAGACATCCATGTTCTTAAAGGTATAGATCAATTGGTTTGCGATTGGACACATTCTTATTCCTACGTGTATACATCAATTGGTTTAAAATTGGACACATTCCTATTCCTATGTGTATACATCATTTGGTTTGAAATTGGACACATTCGTGTTCCTACATGAATATATCAATTGATGTCAGATTGGACACAACCTTATTCATACATGTATACATCAATTGATTTGAGATTGGACACAATCTTCCTGTATGTACACATCAATTGAATTGAGGTTGGACGCATTTCTATTTCTGTATGTACACACCAATTGAATTGAGGTTGAACACAATCCTGCACCCGTGTGTACACACCAATTGAATTGTGGCTGGACACAATCATTCTGTATGTACACACCAATTGAATTGAAGTTGGACGTATTTTTGTTCTTGTATGTACTTACCAATGGAATTAGGGTTCGACACATTCCTGTTCCTGTATGTACATACCAATTGAATTGTGGCTGAACGCGTTCCTGTTCCTGTATGTACACAACAATTGAATTGATGTTGGACACAATCTTCCTGTATGTACACACCAATTGACACAGTGCTGCACCTGTATGTACACACCAATTGAATTGAGGTTGGACGCATTTCTGTTCTTGTATGTACATACCAATGGAATTGAGGTTGAACGCGTTTCTGTTCCTGTATGTACACATCAATTGAGTTGAGGTTGGACGCAGTCCTGTACCCCA